GTGACCCCACCTCTGGCTCAGACTCCAGAGAATGGTCAGAACCAAATACTGTGGTTCTGATGGGTTGGTCATGGCTGACGAGGAGGCTGAATGTTTTCAACTTGGCTGAAGGGGAGAATGACTCCAGAAAGGGAGAGATTGGGGGTAGAAGACGGAAAGGGGAGACTCAGAAGCATGGTGAGGCCTGCCGGGAGCCAGAGCCTGAAGTATGACAGTACCACAGACAGGCCTGTGGAGGGCGCCACAGACTCAGCCACCATCTTCCTTGAGCCTGCCACCGTTGCCTCCAACTCTGCCAATCAAGAGGTTCCGGTGCCTTGCAGCCTGTGAGTGGCTGGTGTTCCGGGAGGGAGACCCCATTTCTAGCAGAGCACCCACCCATCATTTTCTCCCCATCCCCTTATTATCCCAGCACATCCTCCTTTTAAAATAGCGGGTCTCTTGTGGTTCCACTTTGTGACTGACCAGAAAGAAAGCCAAAAACACTGTCGAAGACAGTGCTTCCTCGGGGTCAATGTTTGCTTCCCCACCTCGCCCCCACGCCCACCATAGCAGAATGTCGTCCCAAACGCTGCCCCTTCAAGGGGACAGTCACGACCGCTCTGAGTAGTGTTCGGAGTTGTCTCATGGAGGGCCACCCCGCTTTCTTCTTGTTGACCCTCTAGTTTACCAAGCGGATGTCCTTCCCCAGGAACCGGTCCCCCCTGGCCACATGTCTCAGGAACCGAGTCTGGCCCTCCTTGCTTTCTCCGGCTCCCTGCGGCTCACGGTCTCACCCATGTTCTTCGCCCGCTCCCTCCTGCGCAGGCACGGGGCCTCACCAGGCCTCTCACTCCTTGCCCGGCTGCCCCATGCCTGTGAGGGGATCGGGAGACCCTCGTTTGGGCCGGGCTCACCTTAGCCCTCAAAGCCACACCTCTGCTTTCCAGCACCTTTGAGGGGGGGAAGCGGGAATTGTGCGGCAGGTTGGCCCGAAGCTATGATACGCATGCCGTCTGATGTCCTGGCTGCTCTTCCCAAGTGCTGCATGCCATCGGCCTTGACTGCACTCCCTGTGATGTGCTTCTCGGGCCAGCCATGAGGGGTTTGGGGGACCGGATGGAAAGGGAGTGGGGTGTCCCCACCCCTTGTTCTGAAGGCTGTGGCCTTTGACCTTCATTGGCCAGGGCGGCTAGTCCTCTGCCTGCCACGCACGCAGGCTGCCCGCGAGCCCTCCTCCAGCAGGCTGCCTCCTTCAGCGCATCCAGCCTCTCACGATGATTAGCTCAGCTGCTGCTGCTACCCAGTCCACCTGCCTCATAACCACCTGCAGATAGCCCTACAGACACAGCCCGGACACAGCCCGGACGCATGCCTGGCCTGGCGTCACCCCACCCAATGCCCCCCTCATGGCCCACAGGCACAGTGAGGTGTCCCGGAAACCCCATTCTGGCAATGCTTTCCAAGTTTATTGGGAGCCGCCGCGCAGTCGGATGGTGGCGTGTGGTCAGTGAGGCACACGGGAGGCCTCGGGGAATCTGGGGCCGGTGGCCCTAAGGTGTGACACCCAGCCCTGCTGACACCGTCCCACAGGCTGGGGTGGTGTGGGGCTCAAACTCTCAGCTACCCAAGGAGTACACAGCCTCCAGCCTCGACAGGAGCAAGGAAGGCCCGGTTGGTCCGGCCCCATGTCGGGTGTCCCCTCTGCTATCCAGCCTGCGCCCCTTTCTTTCTCACTGTTCAGCAGGGTGGGGCCACAGATGCAGGCCAGCATGTTCAGCATCCACTGGAACCCCACCAGGAAGTGTTCTCTCCGGAACTTTCTAGACTAAACGTCCCCTGGTCATTTCATATGAAACCCCAGACTAAGAAGAAAGCTAGGATAAAGGCGGGGTCCCATTGCCTACGCCCAGGGGCCCCTACCCTCACCGTGGGGCTGACAGGCAACGGGGAGCACCTAATGACTATCAGGGGCAGGGCTGGTGTAGAGCAGGGTGGCCCGGCCCCACTCAGCCTGCGGGATTGAAAAGCCCTCCCTGGGGACAGGCTGCACCAGGAACTCCACGCGGCCTCTTCGGCCAGGCCCATCGCTGGCCACAGCCAGGTCCACGACACGGTACTGGTTGGTGAACGCCAGGCCCAGGAACTCAGGCCTCTCGGGGTCCAGCGGCCCCCCACCCTGGGGGCCGCTCGCTGGCTCCCTCCGACAGTGGACCCAGAAACAGCGGGCCTGGGGCAGCGGGAAGGCCCAGTGCAGGGTGCAGCTCAGCTGGAGCTGCCTGGACCGAGTGAGGCCCCTGGGCTCTGGGGCGGCCGGCTGCCAGCGGACGTGGGAGATTGTGACAGTCTGCACCTGGGGTAGGGGGCTCAGCAGGCTCTGGGCATCCACCACCTGGAAGAGAGGGTGACCTCAGCACGGGAAGGGGGCACGTTGCCACAGGGCTGGGTCCCCAGGGAGCTCAGTCACCTGGATCTCCCCGAGGCGGCAGACAAAGGTCTCCTCCTGATGGCTGTTGGGGGGCCGGGAGAAGCTGACGAAGAGGTCCCGCAGCACACAGCCCTGCAGCATCACCTTGAAGCAGCTGTGGGGGGAGGTGGGGGGTGTCACAGGGGCCAGGAATGGAGGGGGGACCCCCAACGCCCAGCCTCAGCAAACCCGTGATGACCCCGTGGCCCCAGCTTGATGCAGGAGTGCTGGCCTTGTCTGGCTAAGTGAGCCAGGCTTCCTAGGGAACCCTTACACCCACCATGTCCACCACCCTGAGCCCAGCAGGTAGGGGGCACTCACCGCTGGACCCAACCCCCTGGCAGTGGCTGGCCACATCGGCCGGCCCACCTGGTCAGCTTGGTGGGGGGCACACGGAGGGGCTGGGCACTGTACCTCCGGCTCGTGTCCGCTGGGGGAAAAACAAGCTCTGTCCAGGCTGCAGCCAGGCCTGAGGGAGCCGGGCCCAGGGCTTGGCCAGGTGACCAGACAGGGCCCAGAGGTGGGTGCAGACAACCTCTGGGTATGGGGGCGTGGTTCCTCCACAATGCGAAGTGCGTGTCTGGGACTTGTCACCTCTGGCCCTAGTCTGGCCCTCTCAGATGCCACCAGAGCCCCCACCCACTTCACATGTTCACACTCCTCGGTGGGCTCAGCAGGGGCAGTGGGGGACGGGGGATGTCAGAGAAGCGCTGCCATCCTCCCTCACCCCCAGGCAGCCCCACCCTCAGAGAACAGAGCGGGCAGTGAGTCCTGTCCTCACCGTTCAGGGCTGAGATACTGCCAATGTGACAGCTGTCAGTGTCCCCCGTACTCAGCTCCAGGGCCACCGTCACGGCCGAGGGTCCTTCAAGCTTATACACTAGGGACAGGAAGATCTTGGGGGTCACAGGGACCTGCAGGGAGAATAACCTGGAGGAGGGAGGGTACCCCTGTGAGGGGCCAGCCGGGGGTGGGTGGAGGGACTCCACTCTAGACCTGGCCC